ATAAACAAGATAACACAAAATTGGGTACTTATAATAATAATAATATCATAATATTACTGTGATGATGTTATTAGAAACTTTGACACTACTTTTTATCGATATCACAGCTAAACGGAATAGGTATACATACTCTCATACGAACAGTGATGGGTCGTGTGCCACGTCTTGGGGTCATCATGTGTATACGTAAATCATATTATTGGGAACAACACTCTTACAGGGAGGGACAGGAGAAGTAGAGGGTTGTTCTATACAGAAGAGCGCCGAATAGGCCATATGATAGGCAGCACGTGAATCGACAGAGCCAGGACGTGCACCTCCGCGCCAGTAGAACTCTTGAAATATTTAATTGGACTTGGAATCATATCTTGATCAGCGGTATTTTGGACTTGGAAAATAAATTAGTGAAATTATATTTATTCCTAAACACTGATAAATATTTGTTGATTCGAGTATTCAGTAATACTACATATAGATATTAGATATGTTTAGTTTAATTTTAACACACTACATTTTGAATAGGTATTGAAATACGTCAAATACGACAAATTAATCAATTAATTGGTCTAGGTACGCAATTTGTTACGRCTCAATCTCATCAATTTTACTTATATCGCTACACTATTAATATTTACCTAAACTCTTAAATAAATAATAAAAATGTTATTGTATTGATTGTTGAATTAAAAACACACTTCTATTAAAATCAAAATACTTTAAATTCATCAGCATATTTCGACTTTATTAGGGGTAGGGAATARTATCAATTTCATGTGATAACCTCACCTTCGCCCCTTCAAGTTAATTATTCGAAATTGCAATTGTTTGTTCGTTTGATAAAAAAATGAAACAACTATTAATATTGACCGAGAGATTTCTTTATAAACACATCTTTATAATTTGAATAATTGATTATTTTTATTGACTGTGATTAATTTTTTAGTAATCAAAAACATAAAAAATTTATTCAGGACTAGAGTAAACGTGATTAGTTATCAATTTATTATGTACTGTTATAAATCATAAATATGTACGTAATAAAAATAATGTATAGTAGTGTGCACTGTTAATATTATTATTATTTATTATAATTTAAAATAAATTAATTCGATTAAAAAATTTGTAATAATATTTATCAATAAATTGGCAAGCATAACAGTAAAATATACGAAACATTCCGAGAAAAAATCGATTATATTCGAAGGTTAGGTAGTAGGTACTCATAATCGAATAGATACCTCGATATTTTAGACAAGCGTCCATGAAAACCACTAAACGTCAAACTTGTTTCTTGAGAGTTTTGAATATTACATCTTGAAGAATAAAATATTATAATATTATACTATCTTACGTTACCAGTAGTATATTTCGTTCTCCTTGACCCTTGTTCCCAAACGAGTTCAGTGTTCCAAGTAAAAATTATAGATTGTGCGTATTGTGCAACCTAGTTGCAACCTTAATTTTGAAGATATAGCCGCCAACAAACAATTTATTTAACTTCAGTATTGTAGTAAACCCAGTGGTGCCGAAGTGTTTAAAAAATACTATGACATCGTACATTCAGAGGCCCCTCTGGGGCCTGCCCCCCACCCTAATTTTTTCACAACCAGGCCCCAGTACCTCTTGGTGGGCCCCCAGCTATAAAATCTACTATGACATATTATGTCATTGATAAATTAGGTGATCGGCGCCACTGAGTAAACCGACGGAGTCAATTTACTATTATATATATATTATGATTACAATCACCGATATTACTAACATACATTAGTGACAAATAACCMAAAGCCGATGCGCATCTTCGGTATCATAAAAAAAACACTTAGTTTTATTACTATTTCATATTTTCGTGGAAACATTATAATAAAACGGCAGAATCGTTTTATTATTTTCAATATTATATATCAATGCGCATCTTCAGTCGTGTGATTTAACTACCGCTGCGGATTTATTACAATTCGTAGAAATATTTGATAGTTACGAATGGGAAACGCWTTCAACTGCATTTGGCAACAACATCCACGACGGTACCTTTTGATCCACCTCCTTGTCTCTTACGTGTAACAATTTAGCCACTAAGTTTCTGCATAAATACAGGACTTGGTCCACAGCAGAATTAGAATTAGTTTGTGTCCCAACCAATGTAGAACTTAGTATAGTCGTTGAGCTTGTCCTCAACATCGCCGCTATACATAAGTTCATTCAATTTTTATTTAATTTTACATTACTAATTTCTCGGGCAGATACTTTACGTTCTGTCCTCAAATTKATATACTTTGTGTTTTTATTTTAGTAAATAATTAATAACTTTAAAGTTGTGTAAATTATAAACTYTACAATCGTCTCCTTTGAAAAACCTGACTGTCAATCTAACGTCGCTGAACTCAAATAATAGGCGTTAGTGAGGGATCACTACAGTGTTGTTTGACTTCTTCTTCAGCTTTTATAGGCCTTTAAGACACATCACTGCTCCACACAATCTCCTCCATTCGTCTCTCTTCAAGTATCCTGAAATTCTGGTTGGGCTCGTCTATCCACATTTTCTTCGGCCTGCCCAATTCGGTCTTGCTGCTTTCTGGTTTCAAGTTAAGCGCATCCTTTATTATGCCATTCGATCTCCATACGTGTCTAAGCCAGCTCATTTTCCTGCATTCAAGTGTTTGTATAATGTCCTCTTATGGATAAACGATGAAAAACGATTCTTATAATTTCTTATCTAACTTATTGGTKAATTTGATTACCAAATTATATGAATATTATTATTAAAATTTGAAAAATTTTAGTTTTTTCTCAAGATCATTTTTAAGTAGTAGGTACTTGGTAGGTAGGTGCATATACAGTTGAGTCTCGATAATTCAAAGTAAATACTAGGTTCCTTTAAAATCACGCGGTAATTCGAACAAAAACAATGCATTTAAATACACTTGGTAATTCGAAATTGAATTGGCTATCGAACTATTGAGAACATTATACCTTTTTGGCCGAACGATTKAGAACACTTAAAAATAACAAAGAACTGCTATGTACTGGCGTCCCGCTAGAACACATAAAACCGCATATATATACGTATTATACGTAGATGTACCTAAGTGTCCCTGGTGCATACGATTTCGCCAACCAGTTATGTTGTATAGGACCTCAATACTGCATAGGCGCCACTAGGGGGGGTGCTTGGGGGTGCTTCAGCACCCCCAACCTTTAATTTAGAAAACCCAGATCAAAAACACCAAAAATGGAAAAATCATATGAAAAAGTTTTTTTTGTTTTACGTAAGGTTGTTATTGAATGAGATGTTGTTAATAAAATTACTTCATCAGAAATATTGGAAATATATTCCAATTCCACTAATAAAAGAAAAATAGTATTAGTATAAAATAGTATATTATATATTATGTATAATATTGTATATTATGTAAACATACTAACATARTATTATTACCTAACCTTTGAGATGATTGTGCCTCATGTAAGTGACTGCTAAAAATGTAGATTGTATAATTATTTTGACATCAGTTATTCGTCGTAGCCCCCAGGGGTCTGTTTCATCTACATAATTTTAGCACCCCCAGTGTTTGGCCTCTAGTTGCGCCTATGCTCAATAGCTGTGTCGAAGGCCAAACTCCTAGACTTCTCGGAAATTCGGCATCGTAAAGGTTAACTCTACGATATGTTAAATATGAAAACCGAGATAAAATCGCAGTGTCGGCATCGTTCTATTTAATTCTACGAAACGCTAAATATGAAATTGTAGTATAGACGGGCACACCTAAAGAGAGGATTAATGTCATCTGGTTAGTGGTTATTGAGATTACGTATCGCGAATAACCAGGATGTGGAGTGTGGACCGACCGGTCGCATGGGCGGGCGTGGGTAGCTGCGATATTAGAATAATACACGTGTACGCTTTTGCACGACTCGACCATGGACACATACTTATCTTATCAATAGGAGAGGAAACGCAGGGAGTAGGACTATATAGGAGAGCCAAGAATAGACCAAAAGCAGACGTGAGCCACCAGAGTCAGTGCAAGCACCTTCACGCCTGACACCAGTCCAGTTTAATTATTCGGACTTAGAATATTTTTGAATTAAATCATTATTGTTCAATAATAGTGTTTTATTCACATCATAGATAATCAAATAAATATCTAATAATTAATCACCAATCAAGTTGTTATACTTATTTCACTCAATCCATCACCTCAACACAAGTCGTTCGTCCTCCTGTATGCTAGGACGCTACAGAACTTACCGCTGACCCCAGAAAAACCYAAAAAAGGATACGATTGAAAGCGAATTTACGTGCAACGTTGCCAGATCATTTATTATTTATCATTTAACAAATATTCTTAAAGAAAACCATATGTAATATAAATATGTTTAAAAATGTTTAAAAATGAAAAAAATGTAGAATTTTAAGAATATGTATTATATATGTAAAAAAAGTAAAACATGTAGAATATTATAAAAATATGTATAAAAAATTAAAAAATATGTTATGAGTTTTAGAGTTTATGACAAATGAGTTACCTATGAATTAGTTAAAGCGGGATTATAGCATAATCCAACAWACTCTAGGTATTTTAATAAATTATTAGAACTTTTATTTGCTACATACCATATACATTCATTATGAATATTAATTAATTTTTCCTTTTATTGCCCTGTTCCATTGTTGCTATTTTTAACCGACTATAATACGAATACTTCGTTGACGTTTATGCGACGACTAAAACGCCTATTAAGTCATTCTCTCGTATATCTGGTTTAAAAGTTACAAATAACAACAGTTAATTCGATAAACGTCCGATAAATATTAAAAATCAACTGTATTAATCGTTTAGTCAAAAATGAAAAAGGTATAACGTTCGATAGTYGATTATCGTGCTCAAATTATTGTTCGATTAAATTTGGCAACGTTGGAAATAAAATAAAAATATCGAGCGTTCTCAATCGTGTTACCAAAAATAACGTTCTCAATCGTATTTTACCGATTAAATTTTAGAAAAACTTGCCAATTCGAAGTCTCATTCGCTCAATTCTCAGAAATTCGAAGTAYATTCACCAAATGTATTTTATCTGTATTCATATAATCTTTTTATTAGGTAATAATTTACTATACAATCGTGTAGAAATTTAGATTATTATATAAATATTATTATACATCGATAACTATGGAATATTATCGTAAGAACCTTATCGGTTTATTTCTTAATCGTCTCTAATCGTAATTTAACTCGTCGAGTTAAAAAAATAATAATCTTTTATAATAATAATAAATAATTAAAGATKTTAATATAAATAATAAATAACTCTAATATAGTAATAATATGTATCACTTAATTTACTGAAATAATTAATATGTATGTACAATAATAAAAAATTAAATTTTTTTCTTAACTTCCTATAATTCGAATTTTTTGCCCTCTAGTTATTTCGAACTCTCGGTAATTCGAAGTTTTTCAACAGTCCCGTCAATTTCGAATTATCGAGAGTCGACTGTAGGTACTTATAATTTTCAGTTTTAGTCCCACAAATGTATCAACTAGATGCATTTTTCTGCCAATAAACTYCTTCGGAGTTGGTGATCACAGCATTTTGTCTATTAGAAAAAAGTGTTTTCTGACACAACAATAAAAAACACACACCCATCATCATTAAGTCCATATTTTCCACTGTTGAATGTTAGAATCTAAAATCACTAGGTGGTAAGTATAGGTAATTAGATTAGTCTTACAGCGATAATCATAATATTCATAATATAAGCAAGTGCTTCATACTAAACGAGCATTTTTTTTTTCTCAAAATATAATACTCATAATCATAACTGATAAAAAATGTGCTGTAGCAAGTTTGGTGCTGTGGTTACTGATGGTTTTGCGTCTTATCCAGCGCCATCGGTATTCRTCTAATATGTATAAAAAAATAAAATATATTGCACATGCTTATTGAAATCTAAATAATAGTCGCGGCGACGGTGTCCACAGGTGAAGCGATATTCGTACACGACGAGTAACGAGAGCACCACTTCCAGCCAACAGCTCTGGTCACTGGAACGCAACTGTTCGGGCAAATGCGAAGACGGGTGCATCGTGATCGGCGAACGGATCAAGATCTACGCGTGTCARGCGTGCTGCGAGTCACCGCTGTGCAACGTGTCCAACGGATCCGACCGTAGGTCATCGACTCCGCCGTTTGTCGTTTGTCTTGCGTTTTTGTCGTTGCTCTTGACTACGGTCGTCGATCAGCTGCAGTTGCCGMCGYCGAAAAGACCTCCGCCGCCGTCCCCAAAATTCTTTTCCACTTTCGCGTCACCCTTCTCGTCCGGTCCCTTCCACTTGCCATCAGACACTATTAGGTTGACCACAAAAATCAATAAATATTTTGTATTTTTATCACCGATCCATCACCTGTTCACCTCACGGTTTGTCGCTCTCGAAACATCATCGGTACGTTTTTTTCCCTAAAAACAATAAACATCTATTATATAAATACGTCGTAYTTTTAGGTTATCGTATAAAAATATTTTTGAAAATAATAGTAGGTAGGTATTACTTACTCGGATATAGATACGTATATAATACCCACAATCATATTATTATGCAATACCTACGTCCTACATGTACTTATTACCTACCTACTAGAAAACATCAGAGGGGCCGAAAAAACACGAAACTCGTTGACAAAATAGGTACCGATGAGTGACGAACGATGATCCAACTCCGTAAAGGCGTAAACCAATTTATACTTTTAACTAATTAATATCGAAATATTATCGTATTGAATAAGCATACCCATTATTATATTATATCACATGACACGAATCATAATATGTAAAACACATTTTCAACGTACCTATCTGTATTACATTATTAATTATTATATTGCATGATTTTGATAAATATTTTTTGATTTATTACTGTGCTAACTACAATATTATTGATACCAATCTACTTTTTACATAATAATATATAATATGATAAACAATATTTTCTCGTACTTTATTTTTGAAAACCAACCATTTTTGACTTTTGTTTCYTTTAAAAATGTTTTGCGGTTCCGTAGTTATTTGGCATTTACCTAATGCCACTATCTACAGGGTCATTTTTTAAATACGTTCACCCCCATTTTTCCCTTTAATAGTACTCACATTTATTCAAATTCTATTTTTATAATTTTTAAGTAGACTTAAAGACCATATTTTCTAATTTCTAATATATCTTGTAGGTACTACTTAAGAAGTACCTATCCTGTGGCAATAGGTACAGTCGTACAGACTTCTATTTTAAAAATGAGAACGCCTATTTTTAACTGAAAATTATTTAGCGGATAATTTTTTTTAAAAATGTTGATGTATCTAAATCAAAATTCAAATGAGTAGTTTCTGAGTTATTAAAATGTTTATACTAATTGTAATAAATAATAATTATTAAAAATGGTTTTATAAAAATAAAAACTTTAGGTATATAATGTTATATGTATAGTATTTATTTTACTTGAATAATTTTTACAAATCAGTTATATTGATAAATTAATATTAATTGCTAACCTTTTCAAATCATCTTAACCCCCACCTACCTACTTAACCTACTGGCTACTACTATCATAAACATATTATCCTTACAACACAAAGTTACATAACTTAAAAGTTAAAAACTACTAGCTTGAATTTTGATTTACATAKGTTCATCACAAATGTCAAGAAAAAAAAATCTGCCTATAAATMAAAAATAAAAAGGAGGTTTCTATTTGAAAAACTGAAATTTATGTTGTCACAAGGATTATCCTTAAGTGGCACAAAAAATATCAATGACTTGAAAAATGGTCTTCAAGTGTGTTTAAAAATCCAAAAATCTGTATTTTAATATATGAATAACTTAACCATAAAAATAGGAAAAGTATAATGCTTAAAAAATTACCCTGTATATTTTAATATGGCTAGTATCAATAAATAATCCTTATACCTATAAGTTTACATCATTAATTATTTGTACAATTTTATGTAAGTAACTTATCTATCTTTTATTAACTAGTAGATAAAAACTTAGGTAACTTAAAACATAACAAAAATATTTAATAATTGTACCTATTTGGCAGGTACACAATGCTTTTATTAATTACTTTAGTTAGCAGTTAGTACTTCATACTGTTGCTGTGTATATAGGTAAATTATCATTACATACCTAATAGACTATAACCATTTTTTAATGGAAGCAAATAGCAATTATATTAATAATATATCATAATCCATAATTATTATTGTTAAAATATACAATAATGTGTATTAGGTAGATAGTTAACTAATGACATGTAGGCAACATAATAAATCAAACAATCAGTATATAATATATATGTATATATTAATAATATTTCAAAACATTCAATACAATTGGTGGTATTTAATGAGTTAGTTATGCAATGATCACAGACAAGTTTACCAATTTCCTGTTAGTCAGAATAAAGTATGATTTTTAAATTCTTACTACAATGATAGTAATGTTTAAAAAAAAATATCACACAATAAAGTACACCATGTTTAAAAAAAAAAAATACATCAGAATTTAAATAAAATTGTAACAAACCCATATTACCAACACATTTTATATCAAAAATTTACACAAACAAAATATATTTCTGCGAATACAAAATAAACAAACCATAAGCATTTTTTTCACCATCACATAACAATATTTAATGTCAAATCAACTTAGTCAACTTGAGTTATTTATAATTTATCTTAGCGCCTACAAAAGCAATGTAATCATGTTAATTCCACTGTATAAAAAATAAAAGCAATTAAACATTAGCTTATACTTGTGGTAACTAGAAATTTAGCTGTGGAAGACTTTTGGAACATGTTTTTCATTACAATTACTAATATAATCTAGAATTGAGTCGAYCAAAGAACCTAACATCTTATTTAGGGACCTAAATGTAATACCTAATATATTTTACACTCCAAGTTAAGTACATAATGGATATTTTTACTATGAAAATGGTTAAAAATAAATAACCAAACATAATAAAGTACTTTATTAAACAATAGATAAGTAATAAATAATAAAGAACAAGTTTTTCATAAATTATTTGAAAATAAAAATCATTTTATAATTTGATGCCAAAAAGATACYCAATTGCTTATTATAATAATTCAGAAAATGTCTTACTCAACTTTACTTTTATCAATAATATTTTCATAGGATAAAAATATTAATAGATTAGTTATAATATGAAAACATGTATGTATTTTGTAATAAATACAGAGTTCAGGAATGTCACTTTCAGTAAAGAAAAATACTTTACATTTCTGTTAATAGTATAGAATAGGAGTCACCAAATGACGGTAGTTTATAATTTTTATTCATTGGTTAGGTTAAGTTGGATTTCCAGATTTATAATGTGGCCCTTAAAAAATATTAAATGGTGATTCCTTAGCCCCTGGTATAAAATATTTTATGTTGCATATTATAACCAACATCTAACACATTTATAATATTATTTTAATTCACATGAAAATAATAATAATAATTATAATATATAATATATATATATATATATATATATTATAATCATAATATATTATGATATAAATGTTGATCTGATTTTTACTTCAAATTACCTACTTCAACTAAAAATAATAAAAATAATGAATAGGTATATTTATAGTTAAAAAGACCAAAAATATTTTAATTTAATTTAGTAAAGGTAATATTGAATCTAGAAGAATAGTATACTAGTATAATATATATAAGCAATTTGGTTTAGATTTGATCATACTTTTGAATGGTGTTATTGAGCATATTATTTATAAAGAAAAAATACCAATCATATGCTGGTTTAATAAAATTATTTATAACAATAAATCTAATAGTTGAAGTTATAAAATTTCCAATAGTAAAACGTTATCATAAATAATTTAAGATTTATAACAGAAATATTGTAGTATTCTTTTATACATTTTTCTCAACAATATAAATAAATTAATAACTAAAACAGATAAGAAGCCCACATTTCTTCCATTTTTGTAGCTATTATTTTTTTAGTGAAAGAATTATTCTTTAATTTTTTTTTTTAAATTGTTTAACATTGTACATTTATAAAACAACAACATTTGTAACAACGTCACAAATCAGCTCCACACATCAGCAGAATATCTTTTTTGTTGTTCCATTTTCTTAACATAATTGAGTGCTTGGCTATTGGTCATTTGACCTTTTTCCATGACAACTTTAACAATAATACTATGGACATCCTTTGCCATGCTCCTTGCATCACTAAGTATTCAAAAATTAATATCATATATATTTAAAAAATATTTTACAATTTAAAACAAATGATACATACCCACAAACATATAAATGACCATTTTTTTCCCCAATTATGTTCCACAGTTCATCAGCATTTTGTTCTAACAAATGTGTTACATACTGTTTTTCAGGTTGGTCACGCGAAAATGCCAAATGTAACTAAATTATTGAAAGAAAAGATTAGAATAGTTAATTTGATAAATATTATTTAACACATTTTCAATTTACTTTTGTCAAAGTTCCATTAGAAACATATTCTTTCAACTCATTTTCATAAATAAAGTCTTCATTCTTCTTTCGACATCCAA